GTTATGTCAACCATTCATCATTCGAAATTTCCAACTAGATTTATTTCAGGATATGGTGAAGCGAGTTTCACACATAAGACTAAAAGCAAATGAACAGTTACCGTACACCTGACTAAAACCTCAACAATAGAATAGAGAGGAAAAATATATTTAAATGCCCTATAGCACAGAATATGCATCCACCACGTAATAATACATCAAGCAATGCCCTAAAAATGGCTTTTCTAAATATACTGAACTACATGCACAACATGTTATATGTAGCTATGCTACCAAAAGTATATATTACCCCCTCCGTTCACAAATATAAGATGTTAACTTTTTTGTGAATCAGATGTATATAGACACGTTTTAGTGTGTTTGTTCACTCATTTCATTCCGTATGTAGTCCAGAGGAAGTACTTATTTAACCAGCGTTAAAAATTATTAATTTATGTCTGAACTTACAAAACCCACTGCCCAACTGGTGCACTGAGAGGCAATAAACATGGCCATGTAGATGGGTTCCATAACTGCATGGTCTCTGGTTGTAATCATGCCATCAATTTAGATTCGCTTATGGAAGGTCATTCTAATAGTGTTGTCACTAATCCGGTAATAACAGAAACTCCCACACACCTGTCGCCTAAACCCTCAAGTGGGCCAACTCAGGGGGGTGAACCCTAGCCAGCACTAGGGGATCGCCTTCTTCCCCTGCCACCGCTGGTGGAAGCCGCCCGTCAGCCACAAGTGCCAGTATCTCGCTTCCTCCAATTCCAGGTAGCTGCTCCCTCGCCTCCTCAGCCCCAATCTTGGCACCGACAGCGCAGCGGCCTCATCTAGCAAGGCAGAGGGCTGACAACAGTTTTAAGCGAGAGGTGGCAGCTTGGGGTGTTAGCTGCATCCCTCCTTGCCTGCATGTCAGGAGCTAGAATTGGTGCATCAGGTTGACGGTCTGGGCGATGGCAGTGCCCACCTCCAAAGTTTGTGGGATCCCATGGAAGCCAGTGCGGTAGCATGTTAGCGGCATTGGCATAGTAAGGGCGGTGGTGCCTCACCAATGCTTCAACATGTTCTAAGGCCAAAGTTTGGCACAGCTGTGAACGATGATTGACGCTTCTTGTGCTTGCTCAACTAGCGCTGTTAACATCGCATTGCAAGGGGACGTGGCTTCGGTCCGTGGATGGCGTTGTGGGTTCGCTTCGGCGCCTAATATTGGTTTCTCAGAACGGCAAAAGGTAGGGTTGCGGGTGTGTTGGTATGGGGTGGTGGACATCGAGGTAGTGGCATGTGAAAACCCTCTTGCTTTTGGCCAGACCTAGCAGCCCAGCCCGCGTGCACCAATTCCCTGCCACAAAAACCTATGGAAGGTGGATTTGGCTCAGAATGATCTCTAGTAGCCATAGTTTCGTGCCAGTGAAGTTTAAATCGCTAGATCAAGGAGTGATGGGTGATGTGGATGTTTCCTGGACCACCTCGACGATGTTTCCGCAACAATGTGTGTCAAATCTTCATTGGTGACAAGGCCGGCCAGAGTGCCCTGTTGTCGATGGCTATGTGTGTTATGCAGGTTTTCACCTGATTTTACTTTGATTAACCGGGGAACTCTCTTCTGCTTATTTAATACAGTAAGGCCTTTTGACTCTTGTAAATTTTGGTAATGATAGGACACTATGAATTTTTCATAATTACCAAGTCAAGAGAAAATATCATATCATTAAATCGAGTTGTCACAGGAAAATCATGTGATTTAAATATATATCTCAATTTTCTACGTGTGTTCATATGTGAAGCCCTAGACTAGCTGTCTCAAAGATAGGTGACAGGTCAGCAACTCGAAGATGGTATGCATAGAATTTCCATTCCAATCAACTTATGAACCTAAATGGCTACGGGTCAACGCCTATCACTTTACATTGATGGAACAATTTTGAAAATAAATACACAATTAATAATAATAAATTTAATATGGAACAAGTTTATTTATACACTAACCTAGCAACTGACTTCTCTGAACTGCATTCACGCTGGCTGGGTTCAACAACCACTGCCAATGGTTTTGCATCAATGACTGTATCATGAACATTGTCCAGATTATCTGCATCAACGTCCATTGGTTCAATGTTAACCTTGGGAACACGCTTGCCTTGCTTCAACGCCATTCTTGCCTTTTCTCTTGAGCCATATCCTCCAGCAGTAACACTCAAGTTGCGCCACTTGTCCTGCACAATCGGACCAGACCAATCAATAAGATTCATTCACTCAATGATACGCAGACACATATTTATTCCTGGAAACCAAGACTATGGCAACAGACAGCTGGTTGAACATTGCAACTGTTTACTATAACTGCTACGCAACTTAGTGTCTTAGTCAAAAGTTAATAAGAACAATAAAATTTGACCCATTGCAATCATCATTTGCATCTCAAAGAACTACTTGTACTATTTTTCATCTTAACATAACTTAATCAAACAATATAGCAAAATCAGCAACACCAGAAGAGGAAACAAACGTCAGACAGCGTAAAGCCAACTCGTTTCATCATGCTAACTATCCTTGACTTTCCTTAGAAAAAAATGTATGAAATAAGTTCTAATGGAAGAAACTTCCATAGTAATGTCGGATCCTGACACCAAGGTGAACAATGTGTCCATCGAGAATTAATGGGGCAACTCAGTCATAGCACGGATGGTATCTTGAGATACATTTCAGTTCACCACAGCACCAGTTGAGCAAAGGAGAGATTTCCCTGCTGATCTGTCCAATATCATGAAAATTGTCCCACAGAGAAACATTTCCAATTGATTAGCCAATATGAACATGAACCCCCTAAATCTCGCGATCTGGTACAAAAGCCACAATCATCAACCCAAATAGACGCGAGATTTCCTGCTCTTCCCAACCGATCGCCAACACCCGTCGCCACAATTTTCAGGCGCAAAAGAGCAACCATCCCGTCGCCGATCCGATCGGAAAGGGGGCAATGATCTCCGCGACCAACCTTGAGGTCAACATTGGATCGGAGGCGCAGGACGGCGCTGAAGTCCGTGTCGCGGAGGATGGTCCGCCACTTTCCCGGCCCGTGCTTGGCCACGCCGGCCTTGAGCGCGGCTTCCTCCTCCGACGTCCACCTCTGCTTCGGCGCACCCATCCCACGCACTTAGAGCACCGCGGCGCGGCCAGAAACCGCGCCCCCGCAACAACCAACCCCCAAGGGTCTCGTCTCGTCCTGCCTCCTCTAGGGCAGCGGCGTTATTGATGGGGGCAATTCGATGGATTCGTCCGGCAATTCGGCGGAGGATCCGATGGGACGAGGGTCAGGAGGCGATCGGGGCGCGGGGAGTAGGCGTAAGATTGCACCGGAGATCGGGAGGCGGAGGGGTTCTAGGCGAGGGTGGCATGAGATGAGGAGGAGGAAGAGGGGTGGGAGGCAGCCATCGTCAAGGCTTTGGAGCTGGAGGTTATAAACGGGAGGGGATTAATTGCTGTGTCGTCCTTTTTCTCCCTTTCTTTTAGGAAATGGGATTTTTCTTTTGAGAATATAATAGGGAATGGGATTAATTGGTGTCGAGTACTAGAGCTCGTTGCTGTTGGTCGGAGCGGCTGATCTGAGTATGTATGTGGGATGGATTAGTGGGAGAAGAATACCCTAAAAAAATCACCCCTCCAGGTTGGTTTTGTCTCCCCAAAACAAAAAATCAAATCAAGGAACTATAAACAATGCTATGATTCTTTTCTATATCAGATCTATTATAAAAGTTTTACCGAGCTTCTCAAACACAATAAAAATTACATCAAAATTATGAAACCATCGAATGACCAGTACTGACGCCAGGACGAGCCGATAACACGTCTTTTATCGTCACCCTTATACCAGAGTCAGCTTAGACCTTGTCGATGACAGTCAAATAGTCTTCATGCACTTTCCCCTTAGGACCACGGCCTTGGAGTCGCGATCATCGCCGTAGAACACTTGCATACATCTGAAGCGCCTGACACCAAATCTCACCACATGACAGTAAACCCTAACCTCGCGCGCACCATGAAGACGGCAAGAATCTACGCTGGAGTTTCGTCGACTATGTCCAGACGGATGGACTCAAGAAGGATTGAAATCAGAAAGACAAGCTCAAAGAAAAAGCGTCGCCATTCGCCTGAACGTCGTACCTACGAGAACTAACGAACAATAACCTAAACTGCTAACCGGAGCAAAGAAACCGGGATTTCCCTCCAGGCCGCCGACTGCCAGAGGGGAGGCAAATCCACAGCCTCGCTGGTCTGGAGACGAGAGTTTGCCCTACCCGCCTAGGGTCAAGGAAGCGATAGACCTTGACAAGGACGTACGAAAGCTACGAGGATCTGCATCCACAACAGTATGATCTACGGTAGTACATCAGAATTTTAGCATGAAATTTAACGGACCAGAAAGTCTCTTTTGTTGTCTTCAAACAAATGCCTTGTTGTGATCTCCATCGGTTGAAGCCGCCTGTTCCTGCCCGGAAAACTTGTTCTTGCTTGGTTATGGAAGGTACACTCAGTAAGAACCATTAATA